TTTTTGAGTTTTCTCTGAAAGCATGAGTTTAATACAAATTAATACATAAATAAACATACATCAAGTGTATTTATTGAAAGCAGAAGTGCATTAGCACTTTTCAGTGTCACATTTTGAAAATTGTTTATTCAGATTCAAGAATATTTTATGCTTTTTTTAAAAGGTGAAGGGAAAGGAACAAAAGTAACAATATTGTGTAAAATTCTTATTTAATAGATTGATGAACAGTTAAACAATTCGGGAACTGAATCGACATCAGAGGTAATCAGACTTTTTTACAACACAACAGTCACCTATTTCTGAATCACTGTAATTACCATAATAATGAATCTCTTCAAAAACACTCTGTGCCAAGTAAAATTTTGGGAAAGCACAAGATCACAATTGAGAACAGAGTGTGAACATAATTACTTCTGCCTAATTTTCTTTCAGCTTTATAAAATGACCTTTGTGGTTCTGTTATTAGTTAGTGAATACTTGTATACTGTTTTACCAAATTTGTTTTCTGACTGATGTTATCTTCTTTATAACTAATTTGCTTAATTTTGCAATGTGGTTTAGAGCTAAATGTGAGCAGCTTTTTGACACTAAGTGCGATACAGATTGTAGATTACATGCAATACACACATTCACGTTTTATTCTGGCTTTCTGAAAAGTCACATTTAGCTTGTTACATACATATTTAAATAGGCTGTAGTGAGTTCAAGTTCAAAATGTCTGATTCAATAAATACACTAAGCTAAAATTAAGCAAATATGACTTTAGGTAATCACTCACTCATTTACTATATATATATCCACCATTAACTAAGTGGGTTCACCTACAGTATAATGTGGTTTGCTGGGTTTGGATATATCAAGTTGTACAAAGACAGCCACTGTGTTTGTAAATCAAAGGCTATTCGTCAGAATAACTGCTTTAGAAACCTAGTGCAAATAACGGGCAAGTACGATCCAGCCACATACTCATGAGCCACTCTGCCTTAGAAACAGAATATGTATATCTACTGTAAATATAAGATGGATGAATGACTGAATTGTGATCAGTAAAAAAACAGTATTAGACTTAATGCATGTGGTAATATGATACTATTAGTCATATTATATGGGATTTGTGTTATTCTTGTTATTAGTTATAATTATTCTATTGATACTTTAGATAGTGTGCGCGCTCACACACAGTATAATTCTAATCTACCACGTATGTACAGGCAATTTACCAATTCAAATCATATAGCTGTTAGTCATCTCTTAACATGGATTCAGTGTCACATCCATTGTGACACGCATGCTTAATTACTTATAGTAGCATAATTATGATGCATTGTAACTTTAAAGCAACATGCATATTTTAATTTTTTTCATAGCCAAATGATATTCAAGTGACGAAAGTCTCTAATTCACACAATTTAACTACTTATGTACTTAAGCAGTTATTCTACACATTTCTTTAACTGAAATTTATTGATATTTACAAATTGAATTTCAATAATTCTTGAAATCCTTGTTATAACATACCTTTAACGGAGTCTTTTAAAATGTAAGTTCATCCACGCAATTGCCTACTATTTTAATAATTAACATTTAGCTGATTCTAGTCAATGCTTGAATGGGGTTTTTGTTGAGGATATTTTGAACTACATGGTATAAATAACATGAATTATAAAACTAATGATGCAGACATTGTATTTATCTTTAAATTTAAAATAATAATTATTGAATTTTTAATACCTGATGACAGGTATTGTAGTGTGACATAATTTGAAATATACATTGTACTTCAGTTTAAATAATTAATTTCTGATAAAATTAATTATGGTTTAGGTACTTAACTGGTTTGGGTACTTAAACATAACTGAGTTGAACTGTTAAATATCCAAGAATGTAAATAATTTGATCTGTAATACTATAAAGCAGAAATATTTATATGATATTTAGATTAAAAGAGTAATGTTTTAAGATAGCATGTTTCTGTAGCAGACAATGGAACTTGCATATGTGTTCAGTCGTAGCTGAATGGGGTAACCAACGCAAGATTTTTCCATGCCTTTTATTTATTAGGCATCAATATGTATTTATGAAACAACGTAATATGGCTTTGGCTTTATTTACAGGGAATGGAGATCTTAGCAGGAACAGAAATGGCAAAAAGGAAGGCTGAACTGATGGCAATATTTTGTATAACACATTAAATAGGACAGTCGGATTATCTTTTCTCCTGAGAAATAATATTATAATAGAAATTTTTGGTACCGAGTGCAATAGAGCTCTGGCAATATATTGGCATAATATTTATACATATTCTGGTATAATTCTTTATGCATTCAACATAAATCAAAGTGATAGGAGTAATCTTACTAAATAATATTCAATTAATATGGCATTTCTATATATTATTTTGTTTAAAAGCATATATTTAATCTTAAGCATGTTGATGGGCACTGGCTATTTTTTAAACTGAAGTGCATATTTCATATTTTACATTTAGCTCTGCTTTTAATGCTTGTAATAGTACAGTTAAATCTTTATGTAAGATGGCTCAGTCAACTAGTCTCAATGCTAAATTACATATTCAATTTTTTTCTGATTCTTTTTAAAGAGCTTAGTGTTGAAAAAGAGCATAGGAGCTAGTATTTCATTTTAAACAAAGTTTTCTTGTGAACAACATAATCTTTAAGGACTAAAGTAATTATGATTCCTATTTTCCAAATAAGCAAGACCTATTATATGGTATTTTAAATATTCAGTGGACACTACGGTAGTATTGCTAGTAGATTAATCTAGAATTTGAAGTTAATTCAAAATTTCAAAGTTTAATAGCACTTGTATGCTGCCCAATCCCAAAGGACTCTAGGCGGCTAACAATACAATAAATCAAAAAGAATAGAAAGAAAGAAAAGATAAATTTAAAAACACACCATGCACTCCATTCCAAGTGATTGTAATTGATTGGGTATCTTTTAGTCAACTACTCTGCCTTTCAGCCCTTCATAAAAAAATGTCTATCATGACCAAACTTTCATATAGATCATGTGTTTTCTAGAAAACAGATATTTTTTTGTTGATATTCCCTTCCATACAGGTAGTTCTATTTTTGAAACAGTTTTTTTAGGGACACAAAGAACTTTAGGGGGGAAGGGAAACTACTATTGGATTAATATCCTTTCTGATATCCAATCCAACAGACTGGATTTTTGGAGTCAAATCATGTATAGTGCAAATTTCTACATGGGGAAAGCAGCTTCCTTTGATGTCTGGCTATCCAAAGGTTTTCCGTTTCTGGAATTTCTATGCAGAGAAATATATGCAAAGATTTTGTCCATTCACTGTTTAAACATTGAACATTCTATGGAAAGTAAATTATTTACGGGCATTGGCAACTACCCTGGATTCAAATGTTCATGCCAATCTTTGTTTTTAACAACAGGAAGGTGATGAATCACTGCTAGTTACCGTAGTTCCAGTAAAAGCTAACAAATCACCTGGAAGGATGAAAATAAGTTTTGAGGACCGAGAGAGAGAAAGAGAAGAACAAGAAAGAAGAAAGATTGAAGAAGAAAAGCGACTGAGATATGAGCAGGAAAAGGAAGCCCTAAAGGAAGTCAAATATTTTTCACCAGATGTGGTAAGCTAATTGACATATAAAACTGTTGCATGACCTCAAAAGCATATTTATTTAGAAATAGCCCTCCTCTGTGAATGAAGGGAGAGCTTCTTCCAGGGAAGTAAGAGCATAACTGGGGAGAAAATTGTTTTAGGCCAAATGTCTTAAAAGTGCAAATCTGAGAAATGAACCTTCTGTATAGGATGAAGAGGAAAGCTTTGATAATGAAACCAATGAAGCTCCCTCTCCTGGTAAAGTTAAATTAACATTTGAAGAATTGGAAAGACAAAGACAAGAGAAAGAGAAAAAGCAAGCAGAAGAGGAGGCAAGGCTTCGTTTGGAAGAGGAAAAACGCGCCTATGAGGAAGCAAGGCAACAAATGGTAAGCATGTTTGTTCAAACATATAAAGCCAGGAGATTTTGTGTAACATGGAATATTGCAGGACGATTTTATTATCATATAATAGAGGATTTATCCCATTTAAGAAAAGATCAAAGATTTACAGGGTCTTGAAGTTCCTTGTTTTCCATTTCTCAATTATTTCCTCTTCCTCTTTCATTCTTCCCCAGTACATGGGACCAAAATGTTATTGGAGGGTATGTGGGTTTTTTTTTATTATTCCTGGTGGCTGGAGAATTTCTTAAATGGAATTTTTACAGAGGACAGTCCTGCTACTTGAAAATTTGCTGATTTCTGTCATTCTCCAATGCATCTTATATTTTCCTGAGAAAATCTTCCCAAGTATCCTGGGATCTGTATCTTTGGGTGGAATTCCTTTGGGTGGATCAAAATTTCCATAAGCAAAAGGCATTATTTCTTGGTGGAGAAATAAAAATCCAACTATTTTTTAATACTGAGGTTTATATAAAAATATTAGTAATCTAATCTTTGCTTAATACAGTTTAGCAGAATGCTATTCTTAAACTTTGGGACAAAGTAAATATACATTTTTTTATTTAACACTCTTTGTCATTATGATTGTTTAATAATACACATTATTAAATATCACTATTGATAGCAGACAATAAACTGTAATTGAACTGAATTTAACCATCATTATTTTTAGAGTTATTTGTTGAAAAAAGCTTTATTTCTTTATTGATAGGGCCAAGTTTGTGCGAGTTGGAAGTAAGTTTCCAATTCCATGTCCTTGAGTACGGGTTCCCCACAGGGCTGTGTCCTGAGTCCATTATTGTTCATCTTGACTTCTGTGCCATGTCTGCTACGAATCATATTGTGAAGTATGCAGATGATACTGCAGTGGTGGGTCTTATCTGGGATGACAGTGAAGACTCTTATAAGGAGAAGATGAAGGCTTTGGTGGACTGGTGCAATAAAAATAACCTGGTTTTGAATGTTAATAAAAACAAAGGAGATCATTATTGATTTCAGAAAGAGCCAGCATAGTCATACCCCACTTTATATTAAGGCTGCAGCTGTGGAAGTGGTCAATAGCATTAAATATTTGGGAGTACAGATAATGAACAATCTGTCTTAGTCTTTTCATATGTTATCTTTAGCAAAGTATACAAACCAGTGTTTGCATTTCCAGCACATCTTTCTCCTTCTGTCCTGAACACTTTTTCAAAGGCACTATTGACAGCATTTTAACAAACTGCATTAATGTTTGGTTTGGTGGCAGCAGTGCCTCAGATAAAAAGTCCATACAGAGAGTGGTAAAGACAGCTGAGAAGATTATAGGAAAGCTCACTTCCCATTATTCAGGATACTGCTTATAAGCTCTATGTGCTTAGAGCTTGAAGCATTGTTAGAGACCCCACACACCCACTTCACGGTCTGTTTCTGTTGCTCCCCTCAGGGAGGAGGTTTCAAAGTATCTATAGTGCAGCTACTAAATTTTGCAATAGATTTGTTCCTTATGCCATCAGTCTGCATGATTCCCTTTTTTTGCCATGTATTATGTATACATTCAAAGTAGACTGTGATGTTTCTCTGCATCATATTCGTGTGTAGATGTGGGCATATGCATAGTCAATGGTGGGATTCAGCCACTTTGCACCATTTCAGGAGAATCGATTGTTAACTTTCTGAGTAGCTTGGTGAACTGGTTGTTGGAAGAAATCATTAGCAATAGCAATTAGACTTATATACCGCTTCATAGGGCTTTCAGCCCTCTCTAAGCAGTTTACAGAGTCAGCAAATTGCCCCCACAGTCTGGGTCCTCATTTCACCCACCTCGGAAGGATGGAAGACTGAGTCAACCTTGAGCCGGTGAGATTTGAACCGCCAAACTGCAGATAGCAGTCAGCTGAAGTGGCCTGCAGTACTGCACTCTAACCACTGCGCCATCTCGGCTCATTAGGGCAGAGAACTGGTTGTTAAATTATTTGAATCCCACCACTATGCATAATGATTATCTTTTGAGAACTGAATGCAACTAAATTTCATTTTAATGTATACTGATTAGTGAACATTTAAAGTGACAATAAAGTTTTTATTCTATTGTATTCTACACCTAACACATCACAGTAATTAGGCATTTTGCAAATTAATGGCATATTTGAACCTTTTGAAAGCTGCTTTAAAATATAATCTTTCCCCAAAGAGAAATGAAGAAAATGAAGATGAAGCTGAAAATTCTGTCAAGGAGTTCCGTCCTGGAAAACTGAGACTAACATTTGAGGAAATAGAAAAACAAAGGCAAGAGGAGGAAAAAAGAAGAGCAGAGGAAGAGGCCCGGCGGCGTATAGAAGAAGAGAAAAAATCATTTGCTGAGGCAAGAAAAAGCATGGTAGGTATCCTTTTAGTTATTCCAGGTAGCTTTAGCTGTCCATTTTTGCTAGATTCATTTATCAACCATTAGTGGCATTACATAAATGATTTAACATCAACTTGTAGCACTGAAAAAAACAAAAGCAACCCCCTCCCAACAAATCCCAAACTTAAGCTAAGAGCTAGAGCTAGACTTCTCTGTGAATCAAGGATCCTGTGGAGTTTTCCCTGGAGAAGAGGGTTAAATATTTTTACTGGTGTCTTTCATGTACGTCCCTCTCCAGTTTTCTTGTGCTGTTTTCAGTATTCTCAAATCTTTGAGGGCAACCCTTAGTCATAACGACTAACACTAATTGATATTTATTTCGATCTGGTGAAACATCAAGGCTGGACAGACTAAAAAAAAAACAAATACAAAAAATCAATTTAATTGAAATGCTCTCATACTATAGATTTACCTATAAAGTTATTTCTAGGTCATCATTTGAGTTAGAAAGATTATCAAGGTCATATATAGTGTGTTTTTAAAAAAAATCATAATATATAAAATAAATAGGAGAAAGTTAATTTACAAAACCAGAAAAAAAGAAAGCAAGGTATAACTTCAAAAAATAATGCCAATTTTTAAATCTCAGCTCAGACTGAGGAAACAATAATATGCTGATTTGTTTATTAGTTTGAATGAAGTTGGATCATGTAAATGTCTTTGCAGTGGTATTTATTTATAAAATTTATTTACTACCCATCTTGTATCCAAGGAGTCCTGGTGTCTTATTTCAGATTATGATAATCCAAGCTCTCAAAATTTGACCAAAGCATTAATAAATATAAATGTATTAGACCATATAATTATCAATATGTAATCTATAATTTAATGTTTATACTGAACCCTTTGTTAATGAACCAGATTATTTTTTAATAGGGGCCAGATGATGAACTTTCACTAATGTCAAAAACTGCATCTCAAGAATCTCTGACGCCTGGAAAACTGGATATTAATTTTGAAGAATTACTGAGACAAAAAATGGAAGAAGAAAAAAGACGCACAGAAGAAGAACGCCGACAAAAACTGGAACAAGAGAAGCAAGAATATGAACTGCTCAGACAAGAAATGGGACAGGTCTGTGTTTTAGGTTGTGAAATATTTACCTCCTTGATAGCAGACTTGGCTAACAAAATTTTAATTTATAAAATATGTAACTTTTATGGTTACCGTATATACTCGAGTATAAGCCGAGTTTTTCAGTCCACTTTTTGGGCTGAAAAAAGCCGGCTCGGCTTATACTCGAGTATATACGGTAAATGATTTTAATTAAGGGATACTGTGATGTTCTGGGCTTGTTTTTTTGCTTGCAGACATTTCATTACTTGATTAGGTAACATTATCAGTGCTATCGAGTCAGGGGTT